AGTTTCACCGCTGTAGACAAATTATATTACACAATTCAGGGAAAATAATAATATGTTTGTCACTTCAAAAAACTAAACTTAAATACTAACATTCATTGTTGTTTTTTTCTATAGCTGATAAATTACCGACATTGTTATTTTTTATAATTGAGAGGGGGGCAGTTACTTTGTTTAGGGAAGGGGGCCAGAAATTGAGAGTGCATTTGGTTCCCAAGTAAAATTGGGAAAGGGTAGTCAGAAATTTTATCCACGAGAGGACATCTCAGATTTACTTTACTTTACTTTATTTATTTATTTATTTATTTTATTATTTATATATTTTTATTGGGTGGGGGTGGGTCTTTTCTATCAGGGCACTAGTGAGGCATTATGCTACCCGGTGACATACATGACATGAATTGACATCCTTGTGGCGCATTGCATGGTTTAGACCTCAGCTTAGTTTCACCCCTTACTGCCATATTGATGGGTGTAGTCGAGGGGACAGCAGAAGTTGAGTACGTTAATGGCTCCCGAGTGAGAGTGCCTGACGCCACTCACAGCACTACCACAGTTATAGCCAGATGCATGCACGCCACTCAGATCACTACCACAGTTATGGGCAGTTGCCTTTACGCCACTCAGATCACTACCACAGTTATGGGCAGTCGCCTTTACGCCACACAGATCACTACCACAGTTATAGGCAGTTGCCTTTACGCCACACAGATCACTACCACAGTTATGGGCAGTTGCCTTTACGCCACTCAGATCACTACCACAGTTATGGCCAGGCAGGCTACTCAGACTGAAAGCTTGTTGTTTTGTGATCGGTCTATCAACGACGTGCCAAGAAAGCTTGTTGTTTTGTGATCGGTCTATCAACGACGTGCCAAGAAAGCTTGTTGTTTTGTGATCGGTCTATCAACGACGTGCCAAGAAAGCTTGTTGTTTTGTGATCGGTCTATCAACGACGTGCCAAGAAAGCTTGTTGTTTTGTGATCGGTCTATCAACGACGTGCCAAGAAAGCTTGTTGTTTTGTGATCGGTCTATCAACGACGTGCCAAGAAAGCTTGTTGTTTTGTGATCGGTCTATCAACGACGTGCCAAGAAAGCTTGTTGTTTTGTGATCGGTCTATCAACGACGTGCCAAGAAAGCTTGTTGTTTTGTGATCGGTCTATCAACGACGTGCGGAGAAAGCTGACCATTCTTTACATCAAAAGCCTCACAAAAATCCCCAAAATCAAATTATGGCGGACAACGAGGTAAAGGTCCCAGACAACGAGGTAAAGGTCCCAGACAACGAGGTAAAGGTCCCAGACAACGAGGTAAAGGTCACAGACAACGAGGTAAAGGTCCCAGACAACGAGGTAAAGGTCACAGACAACGAGGTAAAGGTCCCAGACAACGAGGTAAAGGTCACAGACAACGAGGTAAAGGTCCCAGACAACGAGGTAAAGGTCACAGACAACGAGGTAAAGGTCCCAGACAACGAGGTAAAGGTCACAGACAACGAGGTAAAGGTCCCAGACAACGAGGTAAAGGTCACAGACAACGAGGTAAAGGCCCCAGACGACCAGGTAAAGGTCCCCAGGCAACGAAGTAAAGGTCCCAGACAACGAGGTAAAGGCCCCAGACAACGAGGCAAAGGTCCCAGACAACGAGGTAAAGGTCACAGACAACGAGGTAAAGGTCCCAGACAACGAGGTAAAGGTCCCAGACAACGAGGTAAAGGTCCCAGACAACGAGGTAAAGGTCCCAGACAACGAGGTAAAGGTCACAGACAACGAGGTAAAGGCCCCAGACGACCAGGTAAAGGTCCCCAGGCAACGAAGTAAAGGTCCCAGACAACGAGGTAAAGGCCCCAGACAACGAGGTAAAGGTCCCAGACAACGAGGTAAAGGTCACAGACAACGAGGTAAAGGCCCCAGACGACCAGGTAAAGGTCCCCAGGCAACGAGGTAAAGGTCCCAGACAACGAGGTAAAGGCCCCAGACAACGAGGTAAAGGTCCCAGACAACGAGGTAAAGGTCACAGACAACGAGGTAAAGGCCCCAGACGACCAGGTAAAGGTCCCCAGGCAACGAAGTAAAGGTCCCAGACAACGAGGTAAAGGTCCCAGACAACGAGGTAAAGGTCCCAGACAACGAGGTAAAGGTACCAGAAGACGAGGTTAAGGTCCCAGACAACGAGGTAAAGGTCCCAGACACGAGGTTAAGGTCCCAGACATTAAGGTAAAGGTCCCAGACAATGAGATAAAGGTAACAGACGACGAGGTAAAGGTCCCAGACAACGAGGCAAAGGTACCAGAAGACGAGGTTAAGGTCCCAGACAACGAGGCAAAGGTACCAGAAGACGAGGTAAAGGTCCCAGACAACGAGGCAAAGGTACCAGAAGACGAGGTTAAGGTCCCAGACAACGAGGTAAAGGTCCCAGACAAATTGACGAGAATTTGATCGTGTGAACTGGCTATAGTATTTATAAGTTAGTGTTAGATGTTTTTCTAAGTACATCATTCTTATTTGGAGACGGTGACTGTTTTGAAAACAGATTTTTTGCAAATGACAACAATTTTTTAAATTTTTTATTTTTTTTTGAACACGTGTTATGGAGGTCTCGTAATAATGTTGGTACTCAAAAATGTGCCTAGTCATTTGAAAGTTCTGACAAGGCTTCACGCAAAAATCGCATCAGATGTCTGAACGGAAATTTTATCGTGTGAACTGAGCTGTATGTCTCTGTGACAGAGTGTTGAGTATGTCAATGTGTATGTTGGTTTGTTTTTTGTTGGTTTTTTTTGTGGGGAGTTCGGTTCGGGGATAAGTACGCTAATGGCAAACCGGCATACAGACAATGGCGTACAAAGACAAGTGTACCCGATAATTGCGTACACACAAAAATAGCGCACATATATAATCGCTAACATAATCAATTGCGCACCACAAATACAGTTTCGTGCATTAACATTGTGATTTTGAACCCAGCAATTTTTAGAGATGAAATGTTCCAGATTAGTTGGCTTTCGGTGTAAAAGGAAAGTTGGCAAGCATGAAACTTTCATGAAAGGTTACGATTAATTGACACGGCATTAAAAATTATAGAATCACTTCTTTGGCTCTCCAATTAAGTCTAGAATGATGCACAGCTAAATTCAGGTAAGCGCTAAAATACATTTCTGCATTTGAATTTATTTTTTAAAAAGTTCAGTGGATGCCCTCTCTGACCCCACACCCCACCCTTTCTGCCCCTGAAGAAAATCTTTACCACACCGCTGATGACAGACACTTAGACAAACTATTGTTACAAGACTTAATGGACTTTTGACAAAGTGAAAGAAGGGAAATAATTGAATAGCTTTTAGGGAAACTTCCATTCCTTGTTGAAGGCTCCTAGTTACTTACCTCCCTTGTGTAAGGCTCATTGGATGCTGTCTAGTTATTTCTTTTATTCCCAGCAATCCAGTTCATTTTTAATCAGCCAATAAATTGATCTATTTAAATCACTTTTTAATGTTCTAAGATTTATATCGAGACTGTAGCTATAAAATATAAAAATTATGATAAGCTAATAACCACACATAACCCATATTCTGTCCGACAATGGTTTCTCCCTGTCCCACCGCACACACATAACCCATATTCTGTCCGACAATGGTTTCTCCCTGTCCCATCGCAACCCCGGCCCCACTTTTTATTTTTCTTTCTGTTTCAAATCAATGTGACATTAACATTTCCTGACTAGACCATTAAAACTAATCATTGACAAATGAAACATTTTAAAACCATCTAGACAATAATTGATCAGGTTGGCTGATGCAGTGGTAATGACATCATGTGCCCCAGGCAGTGTAACCAACATATATAAGCACCTTAAAAGCCTGACGAATCCATTAGCCGTCTACACATGGTCAGCTTGTAGTGTCAGTGTGGATTTAACAGAATCGCCACCAGTAGGCCTACTTTGTGTCCTGCCCTGAGCTACAATATTGCCTTTTATGTATCATATTATTTGATTAAATACGTCACCAATGCTGAAATTGATTGGACTTGTTTCTCTGCTGGTACGTCTACTCCTTCAACCGAGTCCAGTCGTTGGTGACACATTACCACTACTACCGAATGCCACCGAAAGGGAATTTCTTCGTCTTCACGAAAGACTCCTGACAAACTACAGGTGAGAATTCCTGACAAACTACAGGTGAGAATTACTGACAAACTACAGGTGAGAATTCCTGACAAACTACAAGTGAGAATTCCTGACAAACTACAGGTGAGAATTCCTGACAAACTACAGGTGAGAATTCCTGACAAACTACAGGTGAGAATTCCTGACAAACTACAGGTGAGAATTCCTGACAAACTACAGGTGAGAATTCCTGACAAACTACAGGTGAGAATTCCTGACAAACTACAGGTGCGAAAGGCAGCCCCGAGCCAAGGGGATATTTTAAAATCTTTTATATTAAATTCGCGTTTGTTCGTGGCTGGCAAAATCTTCAGACGGCTAATTGACCCACTTCCCGTTAATCTATCGAGCTGAAACTTGGCACATAGACTCCTCGTTGCCGATGACAGCGCATTCTTTCAAACTATTCGCCCCACTAGCACCCCCCCCCGCCCCTTAAGGTTTTTTTTTTCTCCTGTTTTTTTGAGAATTACGAAAATTGGATACATGTGTTGTATACTTCTCACTTCTATACATTTAATGACCACATAGAAACAAGACTCAAACTGAATGTGTAACATAATATGAACACGTAGAAACAAGGTTCAAACTGAAAGTCTAACATACTATGACCATATAGAAACAAGACTCAAACTGAATGTGTAACATAATATGAACACGTAGAAACAAGGTTCAAACTGAAAGTCTAACATACTATGACCATATAGAAACAGGACTCAAACTGAATATGTAGCTGTAACATAATATGACGCTAGAAACAAGACTCAAACTGAATTTGTAACATTAATATGACGCTAGAAACAGGGCTGAAAATGAATGTGTAACATAATATGACGCATCTTTATGGTTTCTTTCAGTCGCCATATGCGTCCCCTGACCAACCAGTCCGCATCTATGGGTGTGTCCCTTAAATTTGACCTGCTTTCAGTCTCAGATATTGATGACGTCAAACAACGCATTTCTGTCTTAGCCGTGGTCAGCGTGCAGTGGTAAGTCTGTCCTACATACAGTGGTAACGTGCAGTGGTAAGTCTGTCCTACATACAGTGGTAGATATCATGATGTTTGGAGGTGTAGCCATGTCATTTTGCAAAAGACAAGTGTTTAAACAGAGCTCCGACACTTGCAATCTTATCTTATCACTTTCAGGTCTGACAAAAATTTAATCTGGGACCCGACTGACTATGGTGGAATGGACAGAATGTACTTTAGTGAGGACCACATCTGGGCTCCGACAATTTACATCGTTGAATCGCAGACGAAAGGGCCAACCTTGTTCAACCTACCGACGACACACCTGGTACTTCCAGATGGCTCCGTCAATTTTGGCTCTTCGGGGATTCTGGAAACCTCCTGCACCCTGGATATGACCTACTTTCCTTACGATTACCAGTCGTGTAAATTTGGATTCGGTGTCCTGGACTCATCCAGGAGAGATATCTCTTTGGTACCCGATCCTAGGGGTCCACAGAAGTCAGCAGCATACGTCCCTGACGGAGAGTGGAATGTGTACGGCTTTTCAATAGATGAAGCTCTGTACGGAAAAATAAATTACGAATCCCAGACTCTTTACGTGGTTCTCAAACTTCAAAGACGGTCCACTTACTATGTCCTGAATGTGATTGTTCCCGCGGTGACCGTCTCTCTCTTAAGTTTGCTGACGTTCGCCGTCCCTGTCGAGAGTGGGGAGAGACTGGCCTACGCCCTGACCAATCTCCTCTCCTTATCCGTTTACATAACCTACATTGGGAGCATCATGCCGTCCTCCTCTGTGGATCTTCCAATCATCCTCCGATACCTGGTGTCTCTGTTCCTCATTAGCTCAATGTGCGTTGTCATGACCGTTGTTGTCATTGCCGTACGATGGAGTCAGGTCATTGTATCAGGAGAAAACTACAAAACGGTTTTCCTCTTAGGATTCCCCATTACTTTGAAATGTGAAAAAATGGCGACGGCGCTGTGCCGAAGGCGGCAAATAGCATGCCTAGAAAAGAACCCGTCGATAGAATGTACCAGCCTCAACTCATCGGAACTGCAAAACCTTTGGGAGACCCCTAAAGAGAATGTCGTTGTGGAAACGGCCTTCATTGGGCAATCGTCTGCTCGAAGGGGTCAAGCAAAGAGCAACGCCAAGCCGTTTGTGAGGACCGATGACTCACGAACACCGAACCCTGTTGAAACGAAGGCCACGCCTAAAACAAGTGATGACGTGGCGAAAGCGGTCCCCGAGGTCTACCCGGAGTATGAGTTGACATCCGGAGACACGGATCCTGACGTGTTGCGCATTTGTACAAAAGTAGATTTGTGGAGTTTCTGTTTGTTGCTTGCGACATTCCTTGTCATGACGTCCGTCTCCTTTGTCCAACTCAATAATCAACAGTCTAAGTAGATTACAACAGTATGTTTTCATGGGTTTAACATATTCTGTACAGTCCAAGTAGATTACAACAGTATGTTTTCAAGGGGTTAACATACTCTGTACAGCCCAAGTAGATTAGAACGGTGTGCCTACAATGTGTTTACATTTTCTGCTCTAAGTAGATTACAACAGTATGTTTTCAAGGGGTTCACATTTTCTGTTCCCATTTACTTGACTCTTACTGTACTAAAGATAGTGTGATCAAATTCAAAGTGCGAATAAGTGCATCAGCATGTATGATACAAGGATAGATACTCATGTCATGATAAAGGGATAGATACTCATGTCATGATACAAGGATAGATACTCATGTCATGATACAAGGATAGATACTCATGTCATGATACAAGGATAGATACTTATGTCATGATACAAGGATACATACTCATGTCACCAACGTCTTCATAATAAAATGCCCCGGTTTAGGGTTTCAATCTAATTCCAAAATGATCAACCTGTAGACTCGAGCAAGCCATGTGTGCTCTTTACAACTAACTTGAAACTTCGATTGAGACCTACGTTATACTTACATTGAGACCTACCTTATACTTACATTGAGACTGCCTTCAACTTCAAGAATGTATTTACTCAAACAATTTGTATTATTTGAAAATAACAGAATATTTTACAGGGACAGAAATTATAGTTACTGATGGTGGGCAAGTTATTTATGATGGGCAAGTTACTGATGATGGGCAAGTTAATGATGGTGGGAAAATTACTGATGTTAAGAAATTTAATGATGGTGGGAAAGTTACTGATGGTGGGCAAGTTAATGATGGTGGGCAACTTACTGATGGTAAGCAATTTAATGATGTGGGAAAGTTACTGAAGTTGGTAAAGTTACTGATGATGGGAAACTTACTGATGGTAAGCAAGTTAATGATAGTGGGCAAGTTAATGATAGTGAGTTAATTATGGTGGGAAAGTTACTGATGGTGGGAAATTACTGATGGGAAACTTACTGATGGTAAGCAAGTTAATTATGGTGGGAAAGTTACTGATGGTGGGGCAGTTACTGATGATGGGAAATTACTGATGATGGGAAACTTACTGATGGTAAGCAAGTTAATTATGGTGGGAAAGTTACTGATGGTGGGAAATTACTGATGGGAAACTTACTGATGGCAAGCAAGTTAATTATGGTGGGAAAGTTACTGATGGTGGGAAAGTTACTGATTATGGGAAATTACTGATGATGGGCAACTTACTGATGGTAAGCAAGTTACTTATGGTGGGAAAGTTACTGATGGTGGGACAGTTACTGATGATGGGAAATTACTGATGATGGGAAACTTACTGATGGTAAGCAAGTTAATGATAGTGGGCAAGTTAATGATAGTGAGTTAATTATGGTGGGAAAGTTACTGATGGTGGGAAATTACTGATGGGAAACTTACTGATGGTAAGCAAGTTAATTATGGTGGGAAAGTTACTGATGGTGGGGCAGTTACTGATGATGGGAAATTACTGATGATGGGAAACTTACTGATGGTAAGCAAGTTAATTATGGTGGGAAAGTTACTGATGGTGGGAAATTACTGATGGGAAACTTACTGATGGCAAGCAAGTTAATTATGGTGGGAAAGTTACTGATGGTGGGAAAGTTACTGATGATGGGAAATTACTGATGATGGGCAACTTACTGATGGTAAGCAAGTTAATTATGGTGGGAAAGTTACTGATGGTGGGACAGTTACTGATAATGGGAAATTACTGATGATGGGAAACTTACTGATGGTAAGCAAGTTAATTATGGTGGGAAAGTTACTGATGGTGGGAAATTACTGATGGGAAACTTACTGATGGCAAGCAAGTTAATTATGGTGGGAAAGTTACTGATGGTGGGAAAGTTACTGATGATGGGAAATTACTGATGATGGGCAATTTACTGATGGTCAGCAAGTTAATGATGGTGGGGAAAGTTACTGATGGTGGGAAAGTTACTGATGATGGGAAATTAATGATGATGGGCAACTTACTGATGGTCAGCAAGTTAATGATGGTGGGGAAAGTTACTGATAGTGGGAAATTACTGATGATGGGCAAGTTACTGATGGTGGGAGATTTACTTCTGATGGGCAAGTTACTGATGGTGGGAGATTTAACTCATTAATAGTTGATTATGATTGGAAAATAATGTCAGTTTCATCTCTTTTTCAAATTCTCTCTAAGATGTTAGTTACCCTTTTTAAAAAGGCATTCTTTATCTACCAAGTGTTTCCTTCATTTCATTTACAATAGTCTGTGATGCTAAAGGGTTTCCAATCAGAATTGTGTGCAAATTCATTTACTTTACTTTTTGTGCAGTCCTCAATAATTAAATATTGTATTTAATATTACCAAGAAATCAACTATCTTTAGAGATATTGTTGTGTTAGTCTGTTTCATTGAAATTCTTGTCCAATCAAATAACTTAAGACACGCAATGCTTTGTTAGTCTGTTTCATTGAAATTCTTGTCCAATCAAATAACTTTAGACACGCAATGCTTTGTTAGTCTGTTTTATTGAAATTCTTGTCCAATCAAATAACTTTAGACACGCAATGCTTTGTTAGTCTGTTTCATTGAAATTCTTGTCCAATCAAATAACTTTAGACACGCAATTCTTTGTTAGTCTGTTTTATTGTAATTCTTGTCCAATCAAATAACTTTAGACATGCAATTCTTTGTTAGTCTGTTTCATTGAAATTCTTGTCCAATCAAATAACTTTAGACACGCAATTCTTTGTTAGTCTGTTTTATTGAAATTCTTGTCCAATCAAATAACTTTAGACACGCAATTCTTTGTTAGTCTGTTTTATTGAAATTCTTGTCCAATCAAATAACTTAAGACACGCAATGCTTTGTTAGTCTGTTTCATTGAAATTCTTGTCCAATCAAATAACTTTAGACACGCAATTCTTTGTTAGTCTGTTTTATTGAAATTCTTGTCCAATCAAATAACTTTAGACACGCAATGTTTTGTTAGTCTGTTTCATTGAAATTCTTGTCCAATCAAATAACTTTAGACACGCAATTCTTTGTTAGTCTGTTTCATTGAAATTCTTGTCCAATCAAATAACTTTAGACACGCAATGCTTTGTTAGTCTGTTTCATTGAAATTCTTGTCCAATCAAATAACTTTAGACACGCAATGCTTTGTTAGTCTGTTTTATTGTAATTCTTGTCCAATCAAATAACTTTAGACACGCAATGCTTTGTTTGTCTGTTTTATTGAAATTCTTGTCCAATCAAATAACTTTAGACACGCAATGCTTTGTTAGTCTGTTTCATTGAAATTCTTGTCCAATCAAATAACTTTAGACACGCAATTCTTTGTTAGTCTGTTTTATTGTAATTCTTGTCCAATCAAATAACTTTAGACACGCAATTCTTTGTTAGTCTGTTTCATTGAAATTCTTGTCCACTCAAATAACTTTAGACACGCGATTCTTTGTTAGTCTGTTTCATTGAAATTCTTGTCCAATCAAATAACTTAAGACACGCAATGTTTTGTTAGTCTGTTTTATTGAAATTCTTGTCCAATCAAATAACTTTAGACACGCAATGTTTTGTTAGTCTGTTTTATTGAAATTCTTGTCCACTCAAATAACTTTAGACACGCAATGTTTTGTTGGTCTGTTTTATTGAAATTCTAGTCCAATCAAATAACTTTAGACACGCAATGTTTTGTTAGTCTGTTTTATTGAAATTCTTGTCCAATCAAATAACTTTAGACACGCAATTCTTTGTTAGTCTGTTTTATTGAAATTCTTGTCCAGCTCAATGTAACAAAAATAAACGTTAAAAAAAACACCACAAAAACTTGATGAAAAAACTTGGGCGTTATATCGGAAGTCCAAAGCTGAGACTAAAAAACTTGGGCGTTATATCGGAAGTCCAAAGCTGAGACTAACGATGTTATATTCTGCAGGCCTGGATTTGGAATATGGCTGACTTTTGGATGACATTTGCCTCACATTTTGTTGTTAATTTTCTTGAAATTAAAAAAACCATGTGTTTAAATAATGACCTAAACAATGAGTGCCAAAACCATTCATGTCATTTGAGATGAATGACATCAATAGAGGTGTCATTTAATGACACACTGACTTAATCATCTGAACTTAAAATCAGACCAAAACATGAAGTTTATATGATAGCAAAAAGATATGTCACTTTGAAAAGTTTGGCTCTGCCAACAGCATGGGAAACAGAATCAGAAAAATACTTTGTTGATATTGTTTCCAAGAAGTAGAAAATTATGAAAATATAAAAACAATTCTAGCAGTACACTAGCCATTATCAGTCCGTAGTCAGGGTGGGACCAGAATTACAATTCTCATTGTAAGTCAGGACTTCATGCAGAGAGAGATATCAGTCTTATTTCCTCAAGCCATCCATCATCGTAATTTGATTTCTTTTAGTAATCCAATAATCCAGTTTGACCA